CTGAGATATGTCACATCTCCAAAATTGTCTTGCATAATAACATATTTCTGCGTGGGAATCAAGGTTCCCATTACCAAAGGATCAAGCTTTCGTATATATTTGATGTAGATGGAGCGTAGCATAACATTCTCTTCTGGACGTTTCACAGCTTCTACAATCACTGCTCTGCACAGGGAACCATCTTTCCTCAACAGCACCTGCTTCTCTGTCAGTCTCCATTAGTACAACCAACAGCTCAAAAGGACTGTACCTCTGTTATGAATAATATTCTATATATGCTAAAAGTATATAACAACTATCTGAAATATAACTCGTATTTTTTTAAGTATAGGAAGAGTATTATACACAACAAAAATGCATTGTAACTCTGTATAGTATAAGTGCTATATGTGTGTAGTTTTTGCTATGCAATCACATCGTAACCATAATCTTTGCAAGGCTCTTGGAGAATTAAAGTATATGAGTACCTTATATCCATTGAAAATATGTTTTCAAATCAAACCTTCCAGGTTTGCTGGGTCTTCACCTTTTCTTCTGTACAATGGGCTTGGCATTACCCTGCGATAAAATTGTCATTTAGTTCAAATGTGATGATAACTATATAGGAATGAATGAGAATCACTGTGGAAAGTAGTTCTCGGGAGTCTTTGGTTACCACCATTGTTATCTACAAAGCCTCTACTTACAATACATATCGCAAGATCAGGATTTATTATGATTCCAGGACTGCATAGATTTCCTTCTACAAATATATCCATGCCTAGCTTCAGATGCATTTACAAACAGATTTCCATCTCACTTGTTAAAAAGAAAACTGACTCAATAGATAGTTGACCACTGAAGTATCCATATCTTCCAGAATTATCATACATCGTCTTTGACTTTACCAAGCAGAGATTCAGAATCTAACCATAGGATACAATCATTATTAATATTTTAAAATTGATCAGGGAGGAAAATGTACTAAGTGCTTTTATACCAAGTTGGCCAATTCCAAAAGGCTCTCATTACAAATAGAGGGGACATCCATGTAGTGTGCCAAGAGCCAAGCTGCCCGGCTCAGTGGTAATACAGTTTGCAGTGATGACAGCTCCCAGAGACTGTAGAGAAAGGCTGAAAGAGCTACGATTCCGTAATGATAATAAAAGATACAATGAACAGCTCTGGTCGACAAGCAAAAACATCACTGAGAAATGCAAGAATCCATGTGATTCTGGTGCACTGCAGTTGATTCACCAATAGCACCTGGCTTATTTCATAGTTTGTCACTCTTTTTGGATCACAGTGGTACCAAGGAATTATTTTTAATCTCCAGTTATTATTTGGAGTTCTTAACTCAAAAGATTTTCCATATAATAGTGATATTTTCCAGCAATAAATTATTGTTATAAGATAAGTAGATCAATTACCTAGCCCCAGTTTTTTTCCGAGCCATGATATTTAGCACACTTGTCACCCCTCAGCTGTGACTCACTACAGAACGAGTGGCCTTTGATGGGGACATGAAAATATTCATTTCTGAATTACTTTGGACAAAATATTTAAAATGATTCTTAGGCTTCTTGGTGTCTCAGTGTTATCCCTGGATCTTTTTTTGGGATGGTCTTCAAGCATCTCTTAGGTATCCATCTAAACATTTGAGTTCTCCTTTATTTTTCTAAAAGTTTCCTTTCAGAATATCTTGAGTCCTTTCTCAATGACGGCTGTACGTTGCTTCATGTATACAGGGACCTTCATGAGTTCAGTGGTTGAGTCTTGGGGATGCAGTGTTCTCTCTGAGGTTCTTGGTTAGGAGTGTCTGCTATCTGCTAAAACTTATTGATATCTGCCCTAGTCAGTTTTCTACTTCTGTAACAAAACTTCTGAGTCTGAGTATTTTATAAAGAAGAAAGGCTTAACTCATAGTTCTGGAGCTCCAAGAGCATGGGTCTGGCTTCTGTTTGACTGCGGTGAGGGCCATAATGCCAGACAGCACCGTAGTGGGAGCACAATGAAGAAAAAGAGTTCATGTAGCAAGATAGGAAGCAAGAGAGATTCAAGATTCAGGCTTGGTTTTTGGTAACAACTTGCTCTAACAGAAACTGACCCGCATCCTACAAAAACTCGTTAATTCAGTCTAAAGAGAGTACCCGCAATGGCCTACCCATTTCCTGCCAGGATCTACCCTTCCCCCCACCTCCCTTGGTAATGATCATCAAACTCAGGGCCTTCACACTGAGCTACATCTCTAGTAATTTGTAAAAAATTTTTTAAATTTTGAAACCAAACCTTGCAAAGTCACTAGGGTACCCAAGCTGGGCTTGAATATACAGTTTTTCTGTCTCACACTTTCAGAGTGCTGGGATTACAGACGTGTGTCACAAGGCCCAAATAGATCCACATCTTAAAGATTCTACCACCTCTCAAAATTGCCACACTGGGGGTCAGGTTTCCAGTGTATGAACCTATGCGGGACACACTGAAATGAAATGCCAAGCACAGTAGCATCCTAATCCAGTCCTCAGTCTACACCCCAACTCCAAGTGATGAACCATTTTTGTTTCTTCTATAATCCTAAACTGACACTAGACATGTTGTTTTTAGTGCGCTTTTTCAACAATCCCAGAGCCTTCTGTGTTTTCCGGGGGGAAGTACATGATCCCTAAGGGTAAAACTGGATGGTGGAAAGGTAGAAGAGGTATCACACTCTTTCTCTTTCTTGGTACTCATGATGTTTTTAGGGTACCAAGGAAAGCCACAGGGAAGTGCACTTTTCTTATCTTTTTTCTTTTTCTTCACCCCAACCTCCAAGAGTTCGCACACTGGCTTCTACAAGTGGATCAAATTGAGCCTTTCAGAGTAGAAACAAGAGAAGCACATATTATCTAAAAGTCCACCATTCCTTTGGGCAAAGGTGAGGTGACGCAGTAAGATGTTATACACTGCAGGCTTTCTGTGCCTTGTGCTGGAGTGCCACTGTGGTATGGCAGTGGTGTGGCTCTCACCCTGGGAAGGCGTGGACTGTCAGGGATCAAGATGCACACGAGAGCCCACAAAGCAGGCACCCCATTGAGCAGAGCCTTGAAAGAGGAGTACAGTTTGGACTTGTAGAGAACGGAAGTGGACATCAAGAACAGGGTAGATCAAGCAAAGGCAAGAGGCCCCACAGAAAGAGGTCTCTGTGCATAGACCATCTGGCGTTGGGTGTGGTATGGGCAACTCGAAGGCTGACGAGATGCTTGGGCTGAACCAGGAAGGTGCTGGTGACCCTGAGAGGTGGGTGGCCATCAAGTATTTGATGCAAAGAAATCCGAGGCTGAGGCTTCTCCTTAAGCTACTCACTCTCGTGTCCTTGGGGAGGACAGACTGGAAGTGAAGAGCTGGAGGCGTGGGAGCCTTCTGGGGGATTCCGGGCTCACAGCCCAGGAAAGAGGCTGTACACACAGCACCCGGCCCTGAAGGGATACTGCAAAGAGCAAGCTTGGACAGGTAGAAATGAGTGGTCTTGGGCCTTGGTTGATTACAAGGAAGAAGAAGAAGAAAAAGAAAGAGAACTCATGAAACCTACTAAGAGAGAACCAAGGATGTAGCACTGAGTGAAATTTGGTGGGAAGGTGAGGTTCAGATCTCAACATTCGACAGCTTCTGGTTTTTTGGGAACAAGGCTGTTTTACTCGGATTTCTGCTGTGAGTGCTCTAGAAGAAGTGCTGACCTTGGTGTGTGGATGTTTTCTGGGATACCTGCTTTTGGGTCCACTTATTTACTTGTTTATGTTTCTGCACACTTGAAGCCCAGCCCTGGGCCTTGACCTCTCTGGTTCATGGGCCTGCAGAAATGGGACCTGCCCACTGCCAAGCACTGGAGAAAGGAAAGGCACCCTCATAACTTCCCAACCTAAAATCTTTATTGTATCTTTAAGAGAGCAGGATATATGCGTGTGTGTGTGTTTGGAGCAGAGAGATCAAGCTCAGAGGTGTAGGTAGATTTCTATGAAAATCCATCTTCCATTTTAAATTAGAAGCTTCTAGAAAAGTGTCACTGCAGGAAGCAGGATTCAAAATCTAACTTTGAAAAACTTGTGCTGGCCTTGATTCTCTGCTCAGCCTAGGCCCTGGCTTGGTCCTGGCTTCTGCTATGTCCACAGATCCCTCCAGCTCAGCCTTCCAGCTCTGCTTCAGGGCAGGGCTGGGTTTCTATTCCTCTCTCAGCTCACCTTCAAGCTCCCTTCCTTGCTTTGCTCACCCACTCGGAGTTCATGGAAGGCTAGGAAAGAGGTTTGCACTGAGCCCCAAGTCAGCATCTCAGGTGGAGGGGTTTACGGTTTCTTTGGAGAATTAGAATTTACCAAGTATAGTCTGTGGGCCAAGTCTTTTTTTTTTAATGGTTGGGAAAAAAGTTCCAAAGGAGAATATTCTATCACACCTGAAAATTATATGAGATTCAAATTTCAGTGTCCATAAGCAAAGTTTTAAATTTCACCAATAAAGGATTGGAGTAATTTGCTTCCCTTTTCATTCTGTATTTACATAATATATTTAGTTTCATTTTTGTCCTAACCTGTTTATTATTTAACCCTTTATTGAAACCCTTTATTGAACCCTTTATTGAAAAAGTCCTAGGCATTAGATGATCTTTCCTCTGTTCCTAGTAAGTCTGGATTAAAAATTCTGGGAGATAATGTCAAGTTCAATCCTAGCCTGAGCAACTCAGTGGTTTAGGATGACCCTGCCTCAAAATAAAAAATAGAAACAAAACAAAACAAACAAACACCCAGAACATTTTAAGATGTAGCTCAGTGTGAAGGCCTTAGGTTTAATTCCAGTACCACAAAAATAAATTTGAGTAGAATGGAAAGATCCTCGGAATCTGAGTTTGTGTGCTTCTGTGTTTTTTATTATTTGATTTTTGCAAAGCAATAATAATAGCATTGATGATGTTGGTGATACTGATCCTGACCCTTTGGGCGCTGGGCGGGCAGGGTATGAGCACAGAGATGACTAGCCACTTTTTCTTCCCTTAGGTCACAGGCCTTTCCAGTGCCGCTACTGCCCGTACAGTGCCTCTCAGAAGGGAAACCTGAAGACCCACGTCCTCTGTGTCCATCGCATGCCTTTCGACAACAGCCAGTATCCCGACCGCAGGTTCAAGCGCTCCAGGGTTGACTCCGAGGCGTCTGGAAATTTTGAGGAGCCCGCAGCTGTCAAGGCAGGGAGCTCGGTGGAGCCAACAGAGGAGGGTAGCAAGGGCCAGGAGGAGAGCAACTGAGCAGACCCACTGTACACTGCAATATTATTTTACACAGTTTTAAGATGATGCATCTGTTAAAAGAGTTCGCTAACTGCATTCCAAGGGGGAAAAATCATGTACAATCCCCCTCACTAGTGTATAGAACATTTAAAGAAATTTTAAAAGATATCTATATATATATTAAAAAGAAATCCCCCAGCCCTTGAACATGGCTGCTAAACTGTTACCCGGCAACAAGTACTTCCAAACAATGCAGGTGGGAGAAAAGTGATTTCAAAAATGCTCGGTGTCTTTAGAGCTCCACAAAGCTAGGGGCCCTTCCAACTGGAAAGTCGTCTTTGTCCAAAAATAATGCTCTTAACCGAAAAGCGATACCATCTAAATGATTTAGCATTGCCTTGAAGCCGGAGGGGCTGCGTTTTCGTTGTTGAAAACACCTCTATAATCTGATACCAGCTGCTGTCATTGGCCTAGCACCCTAATGAGATGTGCGGTGCCAGTCAGACTGGAGAGGTCACTGCAGAGAAAATCAATTCACGTGGGGTCCTTCTGCACTCCCGGAGAAACCTTAGAAGGACCGCAGCCAGCGCCAGGGCTGACCCACACTGCAGAGGACTGCGATTTTAAATGTGCATTAAAAAAAAAAAAAAAAAACCACACACACACACACACACACACACACACACACACACACAGCCAAATCAATGGTCAGGAAGTATCTGCAGACAAACGTCCATTGCAGATTTGATGAATAATTCCTTTTTTTAGATCAAATTGCAGTATTGAGAAACATGTTTTTCCCCCTTCCTTGCTTGTCTTTTTAATTCTTTTTTAAAAAATGTTTGGGTGAAGAAGATGAATATTAAAAATAAATCGTAAAGTACATTGCGTAAAATGCTAGTAAAGCCAGCCAGCCTTATCCTTAGAAAGCGCTGGTGAGAAACTGCAATCTATGTGAAAATAGAAAGTTGTTTTTCAATTATGATTTTTAAAACTTTACTTGAATGAAGGCTGCTCTGGTCCCTGTTATCAGATATTATTTTTTCTTGTGTTGGCTTTTGTATGTGTCGCAGACACAAAGCCCGATCTTCTTCTCCAGCAGCTCTTAGGAAATAGCTGGTATTAAAGTATGAATCTAAACATCCTGTTCTCTATCTTTAATGAAGAAAACTGTTTAAGTTAAAATGTCTGTTTTTGTAAAACAAATGTGTTCTATATTTTTGTAGACTTTAGATTTTTCTACTGATTGGATACTCCAAATTTATCAAGTTCTGCACCACACAAAGGGAGATTTTTGAGGGTCCGTAATGAAATTGTTAAGCGATTAAAAAAATGATTTGAGAAAACCAGGTCAAGGTTTATTCTTGAATCTGCTCGAACGATGCGAAGGTTCCGCCTTTTCACATACTTCCTTTGAGTGACGTGAAACTGGTGCTGTTGCTTGTGATGGTAGAGAAGTATTGAAGTATCAACTTCTTCTAAAACAAAATTGTTCAGACTTAAAAAAAAAATAAAGTAAAATGTCAATCTTTCCTTGCAGGCTGGGAGCACACAATAAAACCCCAGGGCCTTAAAAACTTCAGCTCTGCCTACAGCAGTTTACAGAAATACTAAACTGCAATCAATGTAAATAAAATTCTTAGCGCTATCCTGAGACCAGAAAGAATCTCAGGCTAATAAGGAATCCGGTTTGCATATGCTGTCAAAGGGTGTCATCTAACCGAGGTTTCAGTGCAAATGAGGTCTCTGTTCAACTCAGACCCATCTGGCATAGAGCAAGCTGCTTTCTTGTTTTCCTAGTCTAGTTCTCACTGCCTTACTTAAATCGAGTTGATAAACTTAATGCAACTGTTTCTATGATCCTAGAGAAAGGACTGAAAATGTTATTGGAAACTTTCTGACTGTAGTAAGCTTTAGGATTTTAACTGCACTACTGTGTTTGGTGACTCTGCCAGTCGCTTGCTTTCTGTGTGTTTGCCCTGCCTTTGGTATCTTAGCAAAGAAAAATAAAAAAAAAAATAAGTAAAAAAGAAGAAAAAAATCAAGAAAAAAATTTTAAAAAAGTGGAAAAAAATGAGAGCCACATTCCATTTCTAGCACTTTGGGAGCTCTTTCAGTATTCTTTGTGTCTTCTGGGCATCGTCAGATGCGACAGGCAATAATTCTGTTTGTGACACTGGGAACATCCCCTCTTTTTTGTGGCGTGTGTGTTGATTCCATTTTGTCCAGTGCTACCATCCTTATCCCCCCTCTGACACAGGCCTTCTTTCCAGAACATTTGTAACTTGTAATACAAACAAGTGACAGCCGCAGTGATGCTATGTCATCAGGTTCTCATATCTAAACATGTCAAGTTTTTTCCCTGTAACTTCTGTAGTCTGTGATGCTGGTCATAATACTGTCTACATTCCTACGCAAAGAAAAAAATCTATCTTGGAGGAAATCTGAGATCAATAGAGTAGAGGATTTTGTTGCTATGCTTGTAACAAGTAGAAAACTTTGTATTTAAAGTTTATTCTTGGTCATTATTTATTATTATAATACATCAGTTGACAGAACTTTATTCTGGTATAGAAAGTATTAAAAGTTGTTTTTTCAGCAATGACTGTTTTCTTTCTGCTGTTAGAATAAAATGTCTTTGAAGCAGCCCAGTTTCATTCAGTGTTTTATGCAGCAAAAGCTCCACCTCGGGGAAACAGCACCAGTAACACATCTTTTCCTATTCCCTTTTGTTTATGACGAAGGGTAAAACATATTTTTTCTAGTTCTGTCAGACTTGGCAAGACTTGGTTAAACCCCGCTTATACTATTCCTCATTGCCTCTGCCTTTTTCAAAGTGAATGAGAATCTGTGCAGTGTGTGCGTATGTGTGTGTGTGTGTGCATGTGTGTGTGTGTGCATGTGTGTGTGTGTGTGCGTGTGTGTGTGTGTGTGCATGTGTGTGTGTGTGCATGTGTGTGTGTGTGTGTGCATGTGTGTATGAACTACTCTGCTTTCAAGGTTTGCAGACATTAGTTTCAGTAAGGTAAAACCTTTGCAAATACTCATGCTCCCATATTAGCTTAATTAAATAAGGCACTTAGAGCATTAGTAGTTGTTATTCTGCTTTACTGATAGAAAAAGTTTTGTTTTGTTTTTAAATCATGTGCAGGGCAGTCTTTTGCTTTGGATGTCTCAGTGGGCAGTCAGAGTTTTTTCTCTAGAAGAAAAGGCATAGAGCAAAGAATAATAAAGTCTGCGGCATCAGAGACGCCCAACAAAGCAGCACTCTGACATTGACTTGAGAAGGTTAGAAATGGATGCTCAATACTAGGTGCATAAAAGTTCTTTTTGATTTTTTTTTTTTTGCGTTTTATTTTGGTCTCAAAGACAAGCTTTTGGACTGGGCATTTAGCTCAGTAGCATAAGCGCCTGTTTGGCAAATGCGAGGTTGTGAGTTCGATCCCCAATACCAAAAAAACAAACAAGTGAAACAGCAGTAACAAAAACAAGCTTGTGCGGCAAACACTGCGGCTCTGGGTTACAAAGGGTCCACTGCAATGTCGTGGCCAAGTGTATCCACCCACATTTTATAGGAGTTTGTAAGCGCTCCTTGTTTCTTTTGGGGTCCAGACAGTCAGCGGCCTGGAGTGAGATTGTCCCCAGTCCCAGCTGTGCAGATCTTGACTGTGGATGAGTTACAAGGTTACTGTAAATGTATCAGAATGGAATCTCTAGGGAAGATGGGTCATGTGTAGAAGGTTGAGTGAAAGGCCACAACTTTTCCCCAAACAACATACACAATAGATCTGAAACCCACAGAGGCCAGCAGAGATACCTTAGTGTTGAAAGGAGGACTGTAGGACTGATGGGGTGTCAGGTGGGCTGGAGAGAAAGACCCTCTATCATGGGGCTAGAGGCCCCTCAGCAACTGCACATCATCCTGATGAACAATGCACATAAGGTCTTGAGTTTGCAAAAGGTAACAGACACCTGGATTTTGTACTGTCTGCCAATGCTCCATGTTGGCTCAAAATTTTATTTAAAAAAAAAAACTATGCAATGAATGGATGGATGAAATGTGGTATATCTATACGAAAGAATATTATTCTGCTGTAAAAAGGAACAAAGTACCAGATGGAGCCACGGTGTGAATGAACCATGAAATAGTCAGTTGTAAAAACCTACAGGTCACGTGGTTCCCTTTATGTGTAATGCCACTGAGTTGGAAAACTGTGGCCAGGTTGAAGGGAGGGAAGAATGGAGGATGATAGTTAAAGAGGATGAAGTTTCCTTTAGAGGTGATAAAAATGTTCTAAAGTTAGACAGCAAAGTTGTCACCTACTTTGTGACTATTATAAGAACCACTGAACTGCACAGTTTAAAAAGCGTGAATTTTATGGTATATGAATTATATCTCAATAAAACTTATAAGAAATATAAATAAAGCTAGAGACAGGCAACATTTTAAAGATATGAATATATATATATATATATATATATATATTCATTGAAATAGATTTGAACTAATAGAGGTGATTGGTAAATTTAGCACAGTGTGAAAAACACAAACTTTTGACTTGACTTTGAACCCTCACTGTATTACTCATTGTCTCCATACTCTTGAACAAATCAACTCTTCTGAGTTTGTCAATCATATATGTAATATTATGAGAGCTAAATACAATTAAGTGGGGAAATTATATGTGCATTTTGTGTGGCACCCTACAAATGCCTGATGTGGCATAGTGAGCTGTGGATAAATTGGAGATTAATATTATGCCCACAAAAAGCTATGCATTCATAAAGCCCTTGTGTTTTGGGAAGGTTCCCTAATAAAACAGTGGCTGAGATTCTTCCATCCTCACCCCTTAGATGAAACAATCCTGTCTTTTAGGTTCCCATATCCTCATTTGAAAGATTGGGACATTAACATCTCTCTTGTCATTCTCAAGGGAAGTAGGGAGGTGGCTAGGAAATAGGAAATGCAATGGGAAAATGATTGGTCTTGACATTGGATTTTGGTCCCTTCTCTTGTGGTCTACTCACAAATATTTATCTAGGACCTACTGTGTGCCAGGCATTAGACTATGAGGAATGTATACTTGCAAGTTATCCCAGGGTCTTTGTCTCAGGAGAACACAGGCTTTAATCAAATAATCACATGAATAAATATAAACATTCTAGGAGAAGAGATGCATGGAGAGTAGGACATTCTCATATGACACAATGCTTCTTGGGGCGTTGACAGTTCAAGTGATAAAGGACACTATGCTAGCCAGTGGGAGTAGCAGTTACAAACCCCAGGCTAGGTGTGGACAGGCTTTCTGGTCCTGTCTCAGCCTTTCAGTAGCTGTGTGAATCTGGCTGGTCATTACATTCCTTCCAATCTATTGCATTATCTATGAAGTGGAAAATAGAATTACCGACAACACAGGGCTCCTTCTGAGGTTAAATGAGATAGCACATATAAAGAAATGCATTGCGAACAAGCTGGATGCCATGAGATTTAAAGGACCATTCGCCAAAATGACAATGGTTAGGAAAAGCCAAGAACATGGAGCTAGTGTGAATTCTGCAGATACAGGGCTTTCTGACCCTGCTCAGCCAAGATTAAGATCAAATTTAATCCATATGATTTCTTTAAAAGACTTACAGGATCTGCGAGAAAGTAGTTACCTCTTGCATCTGGGTACCTCAGTGCCCTGGGAAGAAGGCAGAAGTCCCCTTGTCCACTTTAGGTCTTGGTATAACTCCAGTTAGGGCGCACTCTGTGCACAGGCTTGGTCTAGCTGAAAGCAACTCCACTTACTGGAGGAGCCTGCAGAGGTTGACCAGCCAACCTGGTTTGCCAAGGACTCAGGCATTTCCCAGGACAGTAGGCTTTTAATGCTAAAACCAGGGTAACTGTGTGCTAACCTGAACCATTATCAGCCTAGATCTAAGCTCATTTCATCTAAAGACATATGTCTCACCAAGCCAGGGTGTCTGTGACTGAGGACTCCCTTTCTGGGGGACAATGGGGACCAGGGTGCTCAGAATGTGAGCTTTGACAATGCAAGACTTGTGTTGGAATCTTTATTGCCACAGCACTTTTGTCACAAAAATGAAAATCAACAGGCACACAGAACATTTAGCAAGAGCCTGGCATGTGGGCATTTTCTTGACTTTCTCACTGAGTGACTGAACGGATCTTTGTTCCTACTTCATACCCAGGTGGGGATGGCTTGTGTATAAATTTCCCTTCCTAGCAGTCAGAAGCTGCTGAGCGGCTGATATCTAGCATTAAAATACTATTTTGTGCTGAGGAACTTTTATAAAGATGATAACCCTGCTGTCTCTTGTAGTCTGGGATTTGCACACTTCCCCCTCTCTGTTTAACATCTGTATTGTAACAGTATATTATGAAAACCTCACCTGGTGTGTTGTAAGCACAATCCCAAGGAAATTAGTATTAAATATTGTGATCTTCATTTCAAGATAGAAGGGCTGGGCACATTCCACTGAACCAGAGGTATGTTTCCATGGGGAAGGGAAAAAATTCATAAGGTAATACAATATTAAAAATGTCGCCCAGCTGAGCATTCCATGTAGGGCCTTGTGTAGAGTTTTAATCTCTTCACCTGTTGGTGTTAAGAGAAAAGAGAGATATGGGGGTGTTAGGGAGACAAGGAGGGAGAAGTAGAGCTTATGTGAACAGGGGAATCACGGGCAAAGAGGAGGGGGAAAATTTAAATGATCCCAGACCGAACTGTTTTGCTGTTAATACAGAAATACAGTGCAAGACACATTTAATGGGCTCTATTTTTTATTATACTATGCTGAATAATTAAGTTTGAGGCTAAGTGTCACATGGATTTATCTTTTAATTAAAAAAGCATGGTTCACGCATATTTGAGTGGTAGTCCAAATAAATGCAATATAGAAATTTATGTTTGTTTATCTAGGTGTTAATTACCTAGAGATTGTTCTGGATTACTTCTTTTTATAAAGTGTCATAGGCTCGTTGTCAGAAGGAATAAAGCTCGCCCATGGAACCTTATCAATTTGCTAACTATAGTGCTGGCCTGACCTGGGCAGGGGGGGAGGGGTAAACTTTAGGGATTGTTATGTATACACACGCCCCCATTCAACCTACACCAAATAAAACAGTCATTTTAGAAAATATTCCTAGGACGTAAAGGCACAAATATATCTTCGTTGTTTTACAGCCTCTTGTCCACAGCTATTTATAAAACATGTGATTATTTATGCGTCAGGTTATGAGAAGTTCGCTGGGAGAGGCGGTAGAGGGGGCTTCATCAATCCGTTACCTGCAGAGGCAGGGAGGGGAGGGTCGCGGGGGTAGGGGTGGGGAAAGTGAGCTGAGACAGGAAGCTGGCTGCTGTGATTTGTCTAAAATGTGTCAGCGTTGCTCTCAGAAAATCCAGGCAGTGGGAGAAAGAGGAAGAGCAGAGCTGAAAGCCAGAGGTCACTTTTTTTTTTTTTAAACTAAGGATGCCCAGCAAAAGATTCCACAGCCCCCCACAAACTGTTCTTCATCCCTTCAGGCAGTCCTTGCTTTGTTCTTTGTTTACAAAGTGATATTGGGTGGCAAGTTCAATCAAAGGGCTTGGAAGAGATCAGACGCTTTGTTCAAAAGGTTCCAGGAAGCAGTCCGAGGTGGT